TATTGGACAAACTAAAAATTTGACCGTATAAAGTTATTAGGGTTGATCTTTTGTGAGTTGTTGAGATATTTCAGCCTGGACCAAAGTTGTGGACCAACTGATAATTTAAAGCCATGCTGTCAGCAAATAGTTTTAACAACTTATCATGAGCATTCATCTCTCAACTGACTTAATATAGCATACATGCAAACACGTCTGAATAATGTTAAAGCCACAGATACATGCAGAAATCCAGGCCATATATGGTAAATATAGCACTATTAAACAAACCTCACGCCTCGAAGTTTGTTGCACACACCTTACCACAAAGTTTGCCAAAAGAGCTAAGTATTGAGGAAATCTGACTCAACATAGCTTGCATGGGTTTGTTTGCCACTCATACAAACACACATAACAACGCTCTTAGTGGTACAGATGCGGAGTCATACACAGTAACTCCCACACTCTCACACAATGAATTGGCTCAGTTTTCTTGTTGCCATTGGTAAACCTAAGGAAGTTGCAATGGCCTGACAACAACAGCCTCTTTCTGTCTTCTCCTGCCGCTGTGAACAGGCTCGGGCCCCAGACGCTGTGAAGGAAGGGAAAGTTTATCTTAAAAGCGCCAAAGGTTACAACCTTTGGTATCAGGACACTTTTAGGGCTATTGTTCTCTGGACACACATCGATAGGTGTCCAAAACAGTGCCAAAGCTTGTTTTATAAAGAGAAAACATTGCAAGGGGGAAGCACATGTGTAGCAATTGCTGTACCAATGTGACTCCCATCTCTGTGTGACAAGGAACATCCTGTTTCTTGGTGTGGTTGATGTGTGAAGATGTGAGTGACAGATGTAAGGTCAGATGAGGTACTCTTAGCTGTACATACTATGTGTTTATATAAGCCGTGCATAATTACCACGCTGTATAGGACACAAAACAAACTCTTCACAAATCATTGGGGCATTTTATGGGGCTGATTTGAGAACATTTGCTATTAATTGGCATACATTGTGAAACTGAAAACAACACCTCATGCTAAATGTAGATCACAAAACAGCAAAAAGAAGAAACAGAAAACAAAAAAAGGCTAGCAAAAACAGATGGAGTAGATAAAAAACAACAACCCACATCTTCCTTCCTCTCCTGATAATGATTGAAAACTATCTTTTTCCTTCGAGCATAATGCCACACATCAACCATTTCAGTGGCTTTCACCGCAGATTCATCTGAAGTATCTAATTGCTCCAAGGGGGATCATGCTGAAGATGATGGTCATGCCATTCACCAAACCTAGATTACAGAGAACGGACTCTTTAAGCAAAGAGGGAGAAGATTTAGTTGCTTTGCCTTCAATAAAATGTTTCAATATGTCCCTAATGTGGCCGAGGATACAGTTACACACAAACCCAATCAAAGTGTCTTGTGCTGTGAGGGACTAAGTACAGTATATCAAAGAATTTCATGCATACTAAAAAGGAAACCTATGCATTGCATATAATCTCTGCATTAATGAAAGCCATGTGAGTTATAATACTGCATGTTTGCAGACCTGAGAAATCATACAAAAAAGCTAAAGGTTATTATATTTACATTTACTTCTGATACTTAAAGCTGCAGTTAAGTTGTGAATTCACTTTTATATGAACAATGGGTAAAATGACTGTGTTTTGTGAAGGGCGTCCCTTGTCAAACCCACAGAGAATTCTCACCCGACTCTGCTAGTGTGTGTCAGCTCAGACTGTTGCAGCTTTCATTATTTTGTTTTTCGGCCTGCTACTTAACTGTTCTGGTTCACTCTCTCGGTTCTCATCAAGTTGTTTCCAGCTGCAGCAGGCAACTATTTTCACCAAAAAACTGACCAAGAGCAGAAAGCCAGATATTTCCCTTAGGAATTTGTGATATAAACATACCTTAAAATATTTGACTTACATTCATCAGGTGGACACAAATACAATCTAAATGAATGCTATTATTCCTCCTTGTCTGCTTTA